GCTGAAGAAAGCTAGTCCACTTCATCATCTTTTCATTCTTGTTGCTGTACTTTCCCTATCCTTTGTGAGTGAAACTATGGTATTTCTTTACATTGCCAATTTTTCTCCTCTTCCTGTCCTCTTCTGGGTGTCCTTTTCTAATTCTCATGTCAGGTGCCATGTAACTTTCCTTTTTTTGCCTGTTTTGCCATTTTTCCACTTCTCTTGCTAAGCCTCTTTCCTGCATATTCAGACACACCTTCTCCCTTCAGTTTCTTGAAAATTATTCAATGTTTCTGTTTCACAGCAGCTAGTGCCTGATTTTCTTCTTTCTGTACGTTTACCATGTAAAGGAATAACGTAGTGATGTCTCTAATGTCCTCTTTTATCTCTCCTTATTCATCTCCATGCTGTGGAATGATTCCTACCTGAGTCTATTATCAACTGCTGTTTGAACAGGTTTTCTCCCCATATGCAATATCTGCACTGCCTGTTCCTCTAGTTTTAGGTTCTGAAGGTCTTTCGAAACCCTTTTCATGTGTGAGACTCATCTCCCAACCTCTGTTACCTCTTCCGCCTGCCTTTATAGCATGTGGTTTCTAATGGCAATTTGTGTGTTTTCCTTCTCCAGCTCTACCTGACCAAACAGGACAAATGTACAGCATAACTGATGCCCATTGTGGTACAAAAGTTTTTCTCCCCGTCTTGCCTCTTTATGTCCTTTGACAGTTCTGATCTGTCACCATCCAGACCTTTGTTGTACATGGTTTAGATGGCCGACTGACTATCTGGTCTCCATTCTTGCAGATTCTTTTTGAACTCCTTGAATTAATGGATAGAATACTTTTTTTTTGTTTTTCTTCCATGCCCATACCTCCTTTTCTGGCTTATTTTTATGGTAATTTCGGATCAAAGTCACAATAGGACTTCGTGTTCATTCGTTCAAAATACTTTGACAAATTTTCTCTTAGTTATTCTCTTTGTTTGCTGCCAGGTTAATGCAGCTTTGCCTCTGTATGCTGTATGTAAGTAGTTCACACCAGAAACTTTCGTCTGGATTCTTTACATACTAACTAGATAACTAAATGTATGACTTGATTCTTCAAAGGTACTAGGCAGGCACAGGTTCTTTATAAGTAAATAAATAAATAAAGCAAGCCACCTTGGTGAGAGTGCTACAGCATTTAGAACATCTGACAACCAGGTCAATATTGTTGAAGGTGTATAGGTGTTGAACAGCTGAACAAAATCTTAGGACAAAGATATCATGTTCAAACTCTGTATGCCTGAAGATGAAAAAAAGTGGAAATTTCTGCTTGAGCTTCCATTATGAAAAATGACTATGACAGGAAAAACTCAGGATTTGCCTTTCTGAGAATATACATTACCTTGTGATCTTCCAAATAGACTGATATCAAATTCGGAGCATCAAAAAAGTCAATTGCTTCTACATTTTTGAATAAGCACATTGGGCTGCTGTTCTCCTTCACTGTACCAGAAGGCCGTTTCCTGTGTTTTTAGAGAGGATGAGGAAAGGTAACTGTGGCTCAAGCTGAGAAATTATTTTCTGTTCTACTTCATTTCTACAGATTAGAAGCTGCCAAAGATGACTATCGAATACGCTGTGAAGAACTAGAAAGGGAAATTGCTGAATTGAGACAACAAACAGAAGAGCTTACTACGTTGGCAGAGGAGGCTCAGTCTTTGAAGGATGAGATAGATGTACTCAGGTAAACTCTGTTCCATTAACCCTTTTTTAACTATTAACTTTTAATCCATATAATTTGTATACTTAGTCTTCATTAGCTTTTGTTTAAATAATTTTAGTATTAAATACAAACACTTTCTCAATGTCATGGTTCTTTTGGATTCTCCAGTTAAGTACACAGACCACCACACGATTCTGCTTAAGTAAATTAGTTATTTATTATGTACCTATTCAATAACTGTTAGTAAACTTTGCAATCCTACACCATCTTATGGTCATAACAAGTCACTTACTGATCTTTTGAGTATTCTCTACTCACCTTCATCATGACTTGAGCATCTGTTCTCATCAGGAAACTAGACCCTTTCCTTTCTTGGCTTTGCATTATTTGGGCTTTGGGTGGCGCTTTTGGTTCATCATATAATGCTAACATGAACGTCTGTTACAGCTCTCTTTGCCACTGGATTTTAGCACCCAAAGATGTCATGATTTGATGATGCTAGGGGTTCATAGGGTGGGGCACCGCCTTTTACTATGGAACGTAATCCTTCAGTAGTGGCATCTTGCTGCCATGGGTTATTCAGTACAATTTTCCACTACCCACCCATATTACTCTTTCTAGCAAGGCATATTTTAATACTGCCTTTTCTAATTCAACAGCAGCTTTCTACCAAAGCTATCTGTCTTTACCTCCTCTGTCATTAATATAAGGAATAACCTCATCAGGCTGCACAATTCTATACTGTGTGGGCAGCATGGGTTCAAAGAGTAATTCCTTGCCCCACAGAGAGGATCTGCACTTCACTGAGGGTTAAGGAGATTTGGATTGCCTCAGTGTCTCATAAATTGACCATCAATTCAACAGGTGATTCTCCAGATTTCATAGGAAATTGAGTCTGTAAATCGGTTGATTCTAAAATGAAACTAGGGACAGTAATAGTAGTAGGGGTGTGGGTGGTTGGGGGTGAGGGCTATTGCTGTCCTGGCAGTGCACCAGGTGTATTGAAAAAAATTCTGGAATGTTATGGATGGAGCCTGGTGTTTCATTTTTTTAGAACGAATCAGGCTCCAAAGCTGTTATGGTACTTCTGTGTCACCAGGTATATGCTGCCCAGGAGATATGTCTTTATGATTTTATTCCTGTCTATCATTAAAACAAATTAAAGGGCAGAAAAAATTATTCTTTACCCTTGTAAAATGCAGGACTGAGGATTGATTTGGAATTGAAAGGAAATGGGTGGGAATGAAGGTGCTTTAACTATTATTTTAGGATTAGAAGCAGATAGGAAGGCTGTATTAGGAAGAGTGATAGTGTCTAAAAGTACCTCCATCAGCAGCTCTTTGAGCTGACAAATTGTTATGGGAGGGAGGCAGACAATTTAAAAGTGAAAACATTAGTAACAGGAGGATGTGATTGCTTTCTTGTTCTCCCCATGGTGTCTCAGAGTGTCTTCTGCATTAAGGCAAAATACTGAGGAAGCTTCAGGACATGTAATTTTGTTAGTTTTCAAAGTACAAATTTGATACAAATCTGTCCCCCCAGGCATTCTTCTGATAAAGTAGCCAAATTAGAAAGCCAAGTAGAGTCATACAAAAAGAAATTGGAAGACCTGGGTGATTTGCGACGGCAAGTGAAACTCTTAGAAGAGAAGAATACAATGTACATGCAAAATACCGTGAGCCTGGAAGAAGAACTGAGGAAGGCCAACGCAGCACGCAGTCAGCTGGAAACATACAAGAGACAGGTGAGAACAGACATCATCAATGCAACAGTTCTCTGTATTATACAACACTTTCTCTTCATAACATGGCTAATACCTCAAAGTAAAACAGAAATTATGAACAAACAGCTTCTAGTGTTCAGAAGACTTGCATGTTTTGCAAGTACTACGTTTGTCCTCCTTTTCTGCAATCCTTATCGTTATTTCAAGTTTACACTAGTTTGCCAATAAGCATTATTTCTTACTTTTAAAAAATGAACAGGTGCTAAGTTTTTTTTCTCAAATTATTCCTAATTAATATTCAGTACTGGGGCTTGAATTAGAGCCTCTTCTTTCAGAAAAAGTATCTACTTTTCGCTTACAAATTTCCAGCAGTGAGGAACGCACCACAGCTGAGGTAAGTTATTCCTGTGGTTAAGTAACCTCTTTTTTTTTTAAGGTTCTAGTTTGTCTGATACATCTGAATTTGTCCAGTTATGAAGGGAGAAGGACGCATGTCATCCCTATTTTTTATATGCACACAGCAGAGCACAAAATGTGTCACCAGCACACTCTGGAGTGAAAGCTATCTGTTTATCCTCTTGCTTATCAAAGTGGCATGTGATCCTGTTTCTGTAAAGGTGGAATATGTGCTTAATCTTCTCTCTGCTTCTACACTACACTGACATGACATCATTCTGGGATTCTTGTTACAGGGCCAGACAGAGCGTGGTTCGTTAAAGTAGTAGTGCCTGCTCTGTATTTCTGCCTGCTCATAAGCTCGAATGGTCATGACACAGGGGTCCCTATATGTCAGCTTACAGCAGAATAAGACTACAGAAACAACCACAAACAACATTGCAAGCCCAGGAGCAATGTGTGTCCCTAAGACTTGATGGCTTTTTTGCCTGCACCTGGCCATCTTATTGCAGCCTCTACAGGCTAATTGTAAATACAGTCCAAATGATTCTACCAGAAAAAAAGAACTTGGACCAGAAAAGTGCTGAAATAACAAACAATCAAAGGGAAAAGTAATGTAGAAAGCAATGGCCTTTCGCACAAGTAGTATCATGTTTACTGGCAACAAATATTTCACTCCACTGAACAGCTGAGCACGTGATATAGGTGTGCAACCTCAACATCTGCATCTGATCATCCTTATTTCACCAACAATAAGGATTTTGGAAGGGGCAGTCCCATCATTTGTGCTGCAAAAGTACTCCTCCTTTGCTTAATCATTCCCTGTGTTTTATGGGTAGGATTTCATGTCTGAGGAGCTGTTGATTTGTACAAAACTGTTCTGCTGGCTGAGACCGGAATAAACCTCAAGTGTGTCATGACGGATGTGAGTTTTCTTCACCTAACTACAGTGCCTCAAAATGAACATACAGTGTGTTTGCCTTCAGTGTCTGTAAGGCTGGGCTCCTTTTGATGCCTGCCTGTAAATCATGACCAGTCACAAAATTAATTTTGGGCTGGGAGATATAATAGCATTTATTTATTTAAGAGAGTTTTTTTCACTTTTCTGAAAGCAAGCAGAAGCATTTGCTAAGAAACTTCTTATTGCAGCATGAAGAATTGAAATGTGAAGATTCCAGAATTATTTTTTGTAATTTTAATTCAGCCCCTTTGTGCATGTGCATTCTAATATATTTTTAACAGTATGTTTTGCTTTTCTTTGCTGCAAGGTTCCTGCTTTACTCATTCCACGTGTCAGAGAATGCTTAGTAAATGTGATGGTAGTTCATTTTTTTTTCCCTAATCTTCTGTGTTACCATATAGCTGCATATCTTTCTATACACTCCCAAGTCCTGATTCAAGGCAATTTATTTCCTGCTGTGTTTTTCTACATACCATTACCATAGCATGAGTGATTACAAACAGTAACACATTTGTTTCCATTTGAGGAGAAAATATACCTATTTTGCAAGTGGGGAAACAATGACAGGTGAAGGCCTGCATTTTTTATTTTTATACTTGCAGTTATGCTGATAGCCCCAGTGATGGATGTCACATCTGAGAAACGAAATATTTTCATATCTAACATTTTGATTTTTTTTTTAATCTGATAATCTCAGAAATGGCAGGCCTGTGCTTTTTTTGCAGCCTTTAATTTAAGAACAGCAGCAGCAAAATCGTTCTCTAAGATGTAAGGCCATGCAGATTTTTAGGCCTGGTAGTTATTTTGCTATAGCTATACACATTAAAAATAAAAGGTAATTAGAACCACTAGGCAGTCTTAATGTAGATATGGCTACTGCTTTGCTTCACAATTTAAATTAATCACTTTCTCTGCAATCTAAAAGCCATGGAAAAGCCTTCTTATGAATTGCTTCAGAAGAAGCTGTACATCTTTAGCTGAGTCTTCATTCAGCTTTTGTGTTTCCAGGTCAGTCTTTATTCAGCTTACTTGCTTCCGTGCTCTGCATTATGAGCTTTACTGATGTTCTAGGAATAAGCCTTTGCTGCTAAAGGCTGAGAGCTTTGAAAAGGCAAGACTTCACTGATTTGCCTCCCATTCACTGATCGTTTCTGCTCAACTTTCAGATTTCTGCTCATTTTATTTTAAAAGCTCTTTACTGATCTGTAGTTGAAAGTATACATGTGACTTTGTTAGCAATGTTCCCTTCTGGGCTAAAGAAAACTGTTTATGAGCCTGTGGCTGAATATTAGTGTATTAAAAATGATTAGGGAAATCTCAGGTTAAGGAACATTACCTGGCTGAATAAACTGGTGGCTGAATTCTGAGTGAGGCTTGTGAAATAGTTAACAAAAGGTGTAGATAATTTGCTTTCTTCAGAGGTTTTTTCTTTTTCCTAGGCTTCTCAGAATGCAGGAGGATTTTTCTACTTTTCCTAAGCTCTTTGATCCATAGAACTATATAGTTATTTTCTGTAAACCATGCTTGGGCTTGAATTCTTGTTTTTAGATGTAACGAAAATACTTCACAGTTTTTGCTTCTTTTGCTTGTGCTAAGACCTAATATTTGAATGCTGTTGGTTTTGCTGAAACACAGAACAACTGATGAAAGGAGTTTTTAGTATGTTCTATAGGTAACGATTTCACTTGTTTACAACATGACTCATGGTGCATGGTAATTGGCTACTTTGTCTTGTGTATTTTGTTTTCATATTAATATTTGCAGACAAATTATTGATTCTTGTTCTCACAGGCAGTTGAACTACAAAACAGGTTATCTGAAGAATCCAAGAAAGCTGATAAATTAGATTATGAATGCAAACGACTGAAAGAAAAAGTAGACAGCCTCCAAAAAGAAAAAGATGTAAGTGCCAAGGTGTTATTTTTTTGGTAGTAGCGATAGCAACTTTGTGTCCTTTATAACACAGAGATATGGTAATTATACTTAGCCATTTACAGCAAGCTTTTTAAATTAGGAAGTCTTTTTTTGCTTAACATTTTCTAATGTTTGTGTACAAGATCCTTTTTAAACCTAAGAACTGTACAGCATGGAATAAAGTGACTGTACAAAACCATATGCAAACCATTTTTAAGAGAAAAAGCCTTCATATTTGGGATCTGAAGCTGTTTCTTGATCATTTACCATGAAAAGTTTAATAAACACCCAGGGTAATGGTAATGTATTCTGAAAAACTATTTAAAGTAGGGTTTCTGCAGTGTCATCCTAGAACTAAACTCCTGTTGCATTTCTTCTAAAGCATTCTTTGAGGCACCATCAGCATGCATCTCTTTGTGGAGTCATGACTACTGCAGAAAGAGGCTTAGGAGTCATGTAGTGGGACATGTCCTTTGTGGCAATCTCGCCATTTATGACAGCTCCTTGTTGATCTATCTTGTACTGCCAACATGGAACACACAGGATGGATACCAGCCTGTTCCCTTCCTCTCTGTCATTTGCTGTTAGCTATTCTGCAATTAATTGCTTTGTCCTCTTTTGCCAAGACAGATCCTTTAGACTTCTCTTGCACACTATTGTTTCTCACCAGTTTATTTCAGCTTGTTTCTTAGGAATGTATACACAGGTGCCTCAAACTACCTCAAATCAAGGCCAGCACTTTCAGTTAGCAATTTCTTCAGCTTGTTTTAAGTATAAGTCCATCTATCCATCAGTTAGAATCTCTGTAGGTGTTTCCTGCAATAGCCATATTTCCTGTCCAGTTCTTTCCAAAATTTCCAGCCACTGCACTTGAATAGCATTTGAACTGAAACTTTTCAGCTATTTTCTGTTCATAGGTCTTTGATTTCCATATTTTATTAAATTTTCAAACTACTGTGGACAATTGTCCTTGATATCACATCTGCCCTTCAGTTCAGATTGGAATGCCCATAGTAACTGTATTCGTACTGTGCTTTGGCTTTCTTCCTGCTCTTTATTTAAAGCTTGTTTTTCCAGTTCTGTTATGTTTGACAATGGTAAGGTTGTGTCTGTGGCTTACCCATTGCTCAGTGGACCATTTCATCTTGCACAAAGGATCTGAATTTCAGGCCATTGTCATACAGTTTTCTGTTTTACTTCCTGGCACATAGTATTTTTGGGGGCGGATGTTGTTTTTCAATACATTCTTTTGAATGGATATGCACCCGTGAGAAGTAGATTACAGCTAAAGTCTCTCAACATTTGAATTAATGATTCACTACCTGTGTTACTTATTCTTTCTGTTCCCTGTTTTCACATACGTACCAGTAAGGTTGCCCACCACAGGTTGCAAGCTATGTAGTGGTACCTTGTCAGTTATATTTTGGAAACAGTTACTGAAATTGGTTTTGTCCTTGTCTTTATGTTCTGGCAAAGTGTGGTAGCGTGTTTGATATCTTCAGCTATGTAGCTTGGAATTTTACTTCTGTGGTGTGTTGTATGATAAGTACTAAGATAATTTGATGACTTGGCTTTGTCTGCAGTGTACAAATGAAGCCCTGGAGCTTTTTCTAGTCATTAAGGTATTCTGGCATTTGATTAATCAACTTGATGTTTTCTGACTGACGGTAGCAGACTGCAGAATCCTTGCTTTCAGCAGTTGAGTTTGAGCACTCCTCTGTGTGGCTTTTCTTCTGTGGTGTTTGTGGTAAAACCAGTTTTTTCACTTGTGGGGTTTGCGAAATTACTTTCAGTGCTAACAGAATGTACACTTTATTCAGATTGTTCTGACAGTTGCACCAGAGTTCATTCACCTTGCAGGATTCAGAAATACAACAGAAGCCTCTGTCACGCCTCACCAAAATGTTCTTTGCCAAAGTGATTCCAAGTCCCGGATCCATTTGGGCTGAAATATAAAATATATCTGAATCAATCTGTTAATAGGATGAATTGCAAGGAGCTGTCAGCCAACACAACTCCATATCTACACAGAGCTGAGGTCTGTCCTGGACCTTTTAGTAATACTGGACATGTCTGATTTTGGAGCAAGCTACAACTTGGATCTTTACGTAGTTGACCTCTTCTCCTTTCGTTTTTGAATCTTGGCAACCTTCTGGACAAAAACTTGATGCTACCTGTAGTTTCTCATTTTTTGCGAAAGGGGACTTGTGCCAAATTGGGAGAGTATTTGCTTGATGCTACTGAAGAGCTCATCTGTCTAGATCCCAAGGTGGTCCAGTCCCGTTCTTCAGTTCTCTTTGGATTGAGCCTCAAGCAACTAGTTTTCTTCCATAGCTAAGATGCTGGTGAATGGCAAGGCCAGTTGACACACAGGAGGAAGGGGATATGGAAATGCTGCTCACACTTTCACTGTTGAAAGACAAACAAAATGAAATTAATGCAGTTTGTTTGTTATGTTGACTGTGTACTCACCTGCTGTTTATTTCACTCCTGGCTAAACCTTGGTTTCTTGGTGAGGGAGAAGTCTACGGTCTCTTAATTCACTTTCCTTTCCCTTGGAATCAGCCCAATGAGGGGAACAGGAGGATGGCTGAGTGGTGCCAGTGGGCGCTGTTTACTGCCTGGTACCAGAACTTTGTGTCACTAATATCTTGATTTTGTAAGCTTATACCCTGATATTTTTACCCCCATAAGTGCAATACAGAGCAGCAACCCTTCTCAAAAAAACACTGTTCATGTGGAATGTATAATATTTATGTTTATTCTGTGGTGGAATAGACTGAGATGCCTTAATTTGAAAATCATCTCTAGAGTTGCATTAAATTCTTTTTAAAGTGTTGAAAGCTGTGCCTTTTGGTGGCTTGTGTGCTGTTAAAGATGGATTTGTAGTACCAAGACTGATATTCATTCTCTTTCCAATTATTCAGAGATTAAGAACAGAAAGGGATTCTTTGAAAGAAACTATAGAAGAGCTTAGATGTGTACAAGCTCAGGAGGGTCAACTCACCACTACAGGTAAAGGAAGAATAAAGAGATTAAATGCATCTTTTCTGAAGTTTACAGGACTTCTCTGGAGAGTATTGAATGCACTTCTGTTTAGCACAGAATAAATTTAAGCTCCTCTAAGATCAGCAGTGGAAAGCTGCTTCAGCTATTCATAACTTTGTAATATTTGAAAACATTATTTCAGTCAATCAGAAATTTTAGTCTCCTCCCCAGTGTGATATTTTCATAATGTATTTCTGATTTCTGTGTAGTTACATAATTTTCCTTAGAGAGATTGGTTTTTCATGTGTATATGATGTTTCATGTGTTGCAATTTATTTCTGTGTAATGTTGCACAGCTTTGTAGTTCTTAGATAAGCTAATGAGAAGAAAATATGCCACAAACATCATCAGAATGGATGAAGACAGAAATAATGACTATTCTCCAAATGAAATCATGCTTGTCTGTCTGTCTTGTTGTAGCCTAACTTTGTGTCATTTTTCCATTGTCTAGCATTACTCTAAAACTGTAAACTTCTAGAAAAATATTTACTTCTGGTCTTTAAAGTAACTGGTCTGTTTGCTAAATTTTTTACTTTTCCTAACCCAGGATTGATGTCTCTGGGAGCACAAGAGCCTTCAGACAGTTTAGCAGCAGAAATCGTTACTCCTGAAATAAAGTAAGCTAATGTGTGCTTTGTTTTACTAACCTTTACAATGTACCCATAGATGATTAGTTAGTTTTCAGTCTTAGAAAGTTTCTACAATTAATGTTTGTTCTTTTCTCTCCTTTTGGATTTCTGCACAACAGGAGCTGTTATGTTTAAGACAAAATTCAGTTAACCTCTCTTGACTTTGCATTGTGCTCCAAAAAAAAGGGAAAACAAAAACCCCTTTATCCTTACATTGTATCTCTTCTTTTCCTGCAGAGAGTTGATAGAACTGCAGCTTATATGTGTATTACAAAAATATTTGTAACAAGAACGTGTTGTTGTACAAAGAAAAAATGACTAAAATTGTGAAAGGAAGAGTAGATTATAAATTCCATTTTATACCATGGCAAATGCTTACAGTCTATTAAAAGGAAGAACAGCAGTGGCAGAGCTGAAAATCATTGTATCTCAAGATGTTGCAGGCTGCATTTAGCCTTGCCAGTAGGCTAAAAGTTTTTAAGAAAGTCATATTTCAGAAATCTGTTAGCTCTTCAGGAAATCTTTTCTTTTATCTCTATCAATACTAATACAGTATTTTAACAACTGGAAAGCTCAATATGGGTCAAAACATACTGTTCAGTAGTAAAATAATATCTTTCTAGAAAGCTGATAATAGAAACGATTTGTTTTTCTTCCAGGTGTGCTGCTGCACCTTGCTACAAGAGCAGTTCTTTTTAGTTTGTTCAGAAACACCAAAAGAGAATTTAACATTTTGAGGCAGCATTAGTGAAGTATGGAGTTACTGCATAAACCTTCCACATGATTGCGTGAGAGAGGACAGGACCCTAAATGCCATAAATACCCAGGCATAGCCTGTGGTTTCACTAACTCTTCATCTTTGGCTCTGAAGATGAATTCTGGATTTTATGCAAGCATATATCTATGCAGACTGTTTGCAACTACTAAACTTGGCCATGCCTACTTAATAGAGGTGGACAGTAGCAATGGCTGCTGTAGGACTGGAACTTCCTGATCTGGAGGTCTGCTGATGAAGGGGGAAGACTGCACAAGACAGCCTATCCATAGGAGTAGCTACTACTGCTCTCTTTTTCCCTCCATGGTGACAGAGCATGGGTCTGTGCTCAAGCACCTTTCTCCATCTCATAGAGAAGACCTGCAAAGCAAATGGGAGAGTTTCGTGAGGCAGATTCAGTCTGTGGCTTGTTAGTTGCACCTGAGGAAATCAACAAGTTAATTGACATGAGGATTTAGCAGGGCTCATTGAAAGAGCTTTAAACTAGATTTGAAGGGTGAAAGAGAGAAAACCAGGCTAACTGGAGATAAGCCTGGGACAGCATTCCAGTGTTCGAGGGACAGTGCACTATCAAGGTCCTTCAGTCTGCTCTACGATGAGCACATTTTCCTGTACTGATGCGTGCAGCACCTTAGCCAGCTCAGTGGAGGTAAGGGATGGAGATGCATGCAGCAGCAAAGATGTAAAGGTTGTTAATGTTTTAGAAACCACAGAAGCACCTGAGAACAGTCACATAGGAATTAGGGCTTCTCCCTAAAAAAAGCTAGCAGGATCAATAGCCCAACTGAAGTGCATCTACACCAATGCACGCAGCATGGGCAACAAACAGGAGTAGTTGGAAGCCATTGTGCAGCGGGAAAACTATGATATAGTTGCAATCACAGAACTACGGTGGCAAGACTCACACAACTGGAGTGCTGCAATGGATGGCTATAAACTCTTCAGAAGGGATAGGCAAGAAAGGAGAGGTGGTGGCGTAGCCCTGTATGTTAAGGTGTGTTTTGACTGTCTAGAGCTTGACAATGGTGATGAAAGGGTCAAATGTTTATGAGTAAGAATCAGGGGAAAGGCCAACAAAGCAGATATAGTTAGAGTCTGTTATAGACCACCCAACCAGGATGAAGAGGCAGACAAAATATTCTATAAGCAGCTGGGAGAAGTCTCCTGACTGCTAGCCCTTGTTCTCATGGGGGACTTCAACTTACCAGATGTCTGCTGGAAATACAATACAGCAGAGGGGAAACAGTCTAGGAAGTTCCTGGAGTGTGTGGAAGAGAACTTCCTGACACAGCTGGTGAGTGACCTACTAGGGAAGGTGCCCCACTGGACCTCTTGTTTGTGAACAGAGAAGGACTTGCAGGTGATGTGATGGTTGGAGGCTGTCTTGGGCACAGTGATCATGAAATGATAGAGTTTTCGATTCTCAGAGAAGTAAGGAGTGGGGGTAGCAAAACTGCTACTGTGGACTTTCAGAGGGCAGACTTCGGCCTGTTTAGGAGCCTGGTTGACAGAGTTGCTTGTGAGGTCGCCCTGAAGGGCAAAGGAGTCCAGGAAGGCTGGACATTTTTCAATAAGGAGATTTTAAAGGCACAGGAGCAGGCCATCCCCATGTGCCAAAAGACAAGCCAGCGGGGGAGAAGACTGGCCTGGCTGAACAGAGAGCTTTGGCTGGAATTCAGGAAAAAAAAGAGAGTTTATTAACTTTGGAAGAAGGGGCAGGCAACTCAGGAGGGCTACAAAGATGTCATGAGGTTATGCAGGGAGAAAATTAGAAGGGCCAAAGCCCAACTAGAACTTAATTTGGCTACTGCAATAAAAGACAATAAAAAATGTTTCTATAAACATATTAGCAACAAAAGGAGGGCTAAGGAGAATCTCCATCCTTTATTGGATGTGGGGGGAACATAGTGACAAAGGGTGAGGAAAAGGCTGAGGTACTTAATGCCTTCTTTGCCTGAGTCTTTAACAATAAGGCCAGTTGTTCCCGGGGTACCCAGCCCCCTGAGCTGGAAGACAGGGACTGGGAGCAGAATGAAGCCCCCGTAATCCAAGGGGAAATGGTTAGCGACCTGCTACACCACTTAGACACATGCAAGTCTATAGGATGAGATGGGATCCACCCAAGAGTACTCAGGAAGCTGGCAAAGTGCTCACCAAGCCACTTTCCATCATTTATCAGCAGCCCTGGCTAACTGGGGAGGTCCCAGTTGACTGAAGGTTAGCAAATGTGATGCCCATCTACAAGAAGGGCCGGAAAGAGGATCTGGGGACCTACAGGCCTGTCAGTCTGACCTCGGTCCTGGGGAAGAAGGTTATGGAGCAGATCATCCTGAGTGCCATCATGTGGCATGTACGGGACAACCGGGTGATGAGGACCAGTCAGCATGGGTTTATGAAAGGCAGGTCCTGCTTGACTAACCTAATCTCCTTCTATGACAAGGTGACCCTCTCAGTGGATGAGGGAAAGGCTGTGGATGTTGTTTACCTGGACTGTGGTAAAACTGTTGACGCTTTTCCCACAGCATTCTCCTGGAGAAACTGGTTGCTCATGGCTTGGACGTATGTACTCTTTGCTGGGCAAAAAACTGGCTGGATGGCCGGGCCCAGAGAGTGGTGGTGAATGGAGTTAAATCCAGTTGGTGGCCGGTTGCAGGGGGTGTTCCCCAGGGCTCAGTATTGGGGCCAGTTCTGTTTAATACCTTTATCAATCATCTGGACGAGGGGATCAAGTGCACCCTTAGTAAGTTTGCAGCCAACACAAAGTTGGGCAGGAGTGTTGATCTGCTGGAGGGTAGGGAGGCTCTACAGAGGGACCTGGACAGACTGAATCGATGGGCTGAGGCCAATTGTATGAGGTTCAACAAGGCTCAGTGCCGGGTCCTGCACTTGGGTCACAACAACCCCATGCAACACTACACGCTTGGGGAAGAGTGGCTAGAAAACTGCCCAGTGGAAAAGGACCTGAAGGTGTTGGTTGACAGCCAGCTGAATATGAGCCAGCAGCATGCCCAGGTGGCCAAGAAGGCCAACAGCATCCTGGCTTGTATCAGAAGTAGTGTGGCCAGCAGGACTAGGGAAGTGATTGTCCCCCTGTACTTGGCTTTGGTGAGGCCACACCTTGAATACTGTTCAGCTTTGGGCCCCTCAGTACAAGAAAGACATTGAGGTGCTGGAGTGTGTCCAAAGAAGGGCAATGAAGCTGGTGAAGGGTGCAGAGCACAGGTCTAATGAGGAGTGGCTGAGGGAACTGGGGTTGTTTAGCCTGGAGAAAAGGAGGCTGAGGGGAGACCTTATTGCTCTCTACAACTACCTGAAAGGAGGTTGTAGCGAGGTGAATGTCAGTCTCTTCTCCCAAGTGACAAGCTATAGGACAAGAGGAAACGGCCTCAAGTTGCACCAGGGGAGGTTTAGCCTGGATATTAGGAAAAATTTCTTCACAGAAAGGGTTACCAAGCATTGGAACAGGCTGCCCAGGGAAGTGGTTGAGTGGTTCTCATCCCTGAAGGTAGTTAAAAGACATGTAGGCATGGCACGTAGGGACATGGTTTCATGGTGGACTTGGCAGTGTTAGGTTAACGGTTGGACTCGATGATGTTGAGGATCTTTTCCAACCTAAATGATTCTGATTCTGTGAAAACAGACCAACAGGGTAGAAGTGACTTGCCCAGGTTGATGTAGTAGTTCAGTGACAGCTGAGATTACAACCACCCTTAACACTTGGCACCAAGCTTTGTGGTCTCCACGTTTTATCTATAAATCTGTCCAGCTCTACTCTGAGATCTAAGAGGGACACTCAGGCAACTTCCTTGTGTTGTGCTTTCTACAATTACAACTCCTTTAATCAGGTTTGTATTTGGGGGTTTGAAGACATGATTGTTGTTTCAGGTTAAATAGGTAAAGATGATCTTTACGTTATATTTACACCTCCTGTGGTAAACTGTTTTCTTCTTTATAGAGATTGGCATAATTTTTTCTACAAAATTGTATTTTATGTGTTTAGGGAGAAACTCATTCGCCTTCAGCATGAGAACAAGATGTTGAAATTGAACCAAGAAGGTTCTGACAATGAAAAGATTGCCTTGTTGCAGAGCCTTCTTGATGATGCAAACTTACGGAAGAATGAATTGGAGACAGAAAACAGGTAAGAAATTTTGTCCTCAGTTTCAATTGACTTTTCTAAAAATGACGTATACTTTTGACTGTACTATGTCCAGTACTGGCCTCCCCAGTACAAGACAGACATGAATTTACTGGAGTCAGTCCAGTGAAAGGCCACAAGGATGTGATTACAGGACTGCAGCATCTTTCATATAAGGAGTGTCTGGGGGATAGAGACTATGTAGCCTGGAAAAGAGAAGGCTCAGGGCGGATCTTAGCGATGTTTATAAATATCTGATGGGAGGGTCTAAAGGAGATGGAGCTAGACTCTTCTCAGTGGTGCCCAGTAATGGCAGGAGGCAGTGAGCAGAAATGAAAACACATGAAATTTCATCTAAATGTAAGAACATACTTTTTTTTTAGTGTGACGGTTGCTGAACACTGCAATAGGTTGCCAAGAGAGGTTGTCTCCATTCTTGGAGATATTTAAAACCCAACAGGACATGTTCCTGGGCAACCTGCTCTGGCTGACCCTGCTAGATTAAGCCAGTCAGTATACAGGTGTCCATGGGACCAGACAGCGTGCATCTGACCATGCTAAGGTAGCTGGCTGATACAGTTTTGAGGCTGCTCTCTGTCTAAGCTTTGAATCTACTTTCTATCTAATCTTTCCCGATCTTCCCCTTTGACTGGGGAAGGTTCCTGAAGCCTGGGAAAAGGTAAATACTGCACTCATCTTCAAAAAGGTCAAGAAAGAGTCCAGAGAACTACAGAGACTGGTCAGCCACAGCTCATTTTCTGAGAATTTCACAAAGCAAGTCCATCTGGAATCTGTTTCCAGCCACATGAGGGACAAGAAGGTAACTGGGAAAGGCCAACATGAATTTATTCAGGGCAAATCATACCTAGCTAATCCAATTGGCTTGACAATGAGATGACTGCCTATGTGAAGAAGGGTGAAACAGTAGACTTTACTTAGCTTTAGCAGAGCCTGTGGCGCAGTGTCCCCTAGTATCCTGATGTTCAGAATGGTTAGATATAGACTCAAGTGGACAGTAAATTGAGTGGAAAATTGTTTGGACATCTAGGCCTAAAGCGTTATCATCAGTGGTATGAAATCCAACTGGCAACCAGTTCCTCAGGCATCAATACCAGGACCAATGCTGTTCATCACCTTTATTAACAACTTGACTGATGTGAGGGACTATACTCTGAGCAAGTTTGAGGATGGCACCACATTGGGAGGAGTAATTGATATGCTGAAAGGGAGAGCTGTTCTTCAGAGGAGCTCAGCAGTCCAGAGAAATGAGCTGATGGGAGCCCTGTCCCTGGCTGGGAGGAGCCTGGCAGTGCTGGCTGGGACCAGTAGTCTGGGGAGCAGCTCTGCTGCAAAAGCCCTGAGGTCCCAGTGGGCAGCAAAGGAGGATGTGTCAGCTCGGGACCTCACAGCTGACTGTGACTTGGCCTGTCCTCACCAGGATGCAGGCAGGCAGTCTGGGAAAATGATCCTTCACCTCTCATCAGTACTTATGAGATCACATGTGGACATGTGATCTCACATGAAGATAATTTTGGATTCCCCAGTGTAAGAAAGACATGGATGTACAGGAGTGCAGCAGAATACTGCTAAGGTGAGGGGCGCTGGAGGATGTGCTATGTGGGATAAGACTGAGAACTGGGTTTGTTCAGGCCAAAGAAAAGGTGGCATAGAGGAGATAATACTGTCATCTACATCTACCTGATGGGAAGGTGTCAAGAAGATAGAGCCAGACTCTTCTCAGAGATTGACAGTGGAAGGACAAGAGGGAACAGACACAATATGGAGTATGGGTCTGAGCTCTAGAAGGGAGGCCCAAAGAGGTTGTCAGACCTCCATCCTTAAAGGTGTCCAGACCTGGACTGGACGTGGTTCCCAGCAATCTGCTCTGAGTGCACCTGCTTTAAGGAGGAGGTTGGATTTAGACAACCTCTGGAGAGCTCTTCCAGCCTATAGGTTTATAGGATTCTGTGACTGTGTAAAAGCAGTAAGCTAGTAGCTCTCACACAGTAAAACTGACTGTTAGAAACTCTTGTTTCATGCATATAGAAATGATTTCTTAATACACACATTTGTGTTGTCTTGGAAGAGTATCAGAATGTTCTGGATGACTACAGGCTATAATCTCTGGAACTGCTGTATGCTCTAACTACTGTTGTAAAGTTTCTGAGAATAAAATATGGTATTGCATCTCTTGTGTAGATGATGTGAAAACACAAAATCTCAGGCTGCTTCTTGCAGTTGCTTCATTTTTCTGAAAAACGAAATATTATCTCTTTCCTAGATTGGTAAATCAGAGACTTCTAGAAGTGCAGTCCCAGGTTGAAGAACTACAAAAATCTTTGCAGGATCAAGGTTCAAAAGCTGAAGATGTAAGTAGAAATGTACATCAAACTTACATTCAAGTAGTTACCATTTTCGAAACTTTCACCTTTTTGTAAAAAAATATTTAAAAGAAATATGCAAATGGAGATTTCTGATCATTTTCCATATTTACTCATATGGTCTTATCACTAAATTGTGTTTCTCTAAATAGGATGTAAGACATAGTAAGACATTTGTCTAGAAAAGAAAACTGTCCTATGTAGAGAAGGTGTCAAATATGTTTTATTTGATTAATTATGTCTGTTCCAATAGTAAACTTAGCATTAAAATTATTTAATTACAGTAGAGAGTTTTGCAGGGAATTAAGGAAATGTTAATTCTCCATGTCTTAATAAAGTACCTGAAGTTATTTTCGGTTTAGTTTTCTTAATGAAAGTTAAGACCTTTCCTGCCAGTGGAAGCTCTGTAATTGTGGATGTAAATGTATCTCATAATGCAAGAATTGAGGCAGGCCAAAACTAAAAAAAAAAAAAAAAAACAACAAAAACTTAGCGACCCACCAACTAAAAAAAAAAAAAAAAAAAGTCAAATAATTAGTCCCTCAACATAATGCAGCATTTTCTGTTTCTGTATAGTTAACTTTATTTTTAATGTAAGAATATGCATTGTGACAGAGTTAGTGTGGAAAACAACTTTCAGTCTTCCACTCAAAAATTGTGTTTCCCATCTCCTGTGTTTGAGAGAAGAAGCTCTACAGCTTTCTTGAAAGCAGTAATTTGCTGGACTGTACATGCACAGTGTATGCTCACAACCTCAGTGTATTGTGTGCTAATTGGCAACAAGTTGTAATGTGTTGCTTTCTATTTTTGTGGTTTTGTTTTAACTAATTTATATAAAACAGTGGAAGTTTTTACTAGCTGTTTATTTTCATTTAAGAGTGTGTCTAATTTAGCTTATACTTCTAATTTTCAAAATAAACTGTATGAAAGTAAAACACTTAGTTGAGTTTAAATAAGATTATTTTCCCAAGTAACTTAGAATGTTTTTAGAATGCATTTTAAAATAAGTCCATACTATTATGTGATTCTGAGATATTCTTTGTTGTTTTGATTATCGGCCAAATTCAGAATTTTCAGGGTGAACAAGAATGTGAAAAAATTATTCTCAGATATAGAGTATTGTAAATGATCCCTCTCTAATTGAATTCAGCTTTATTTACTGCAGTTTTAATTGTGTCCCTTTTTGAGGCTCTGGTTTGGGCAGTAATTTAGGATGTGTCTGCAGCTCACTTAAAGGACTGGTTGCAGACTATGTAGGAATCATCTGAGATGATGAACAGCAAAACACCACCATCACAACAGCATGGTACAGCCTCCCACATGTACCAGGCAGCCCACGTCAAATCAGAGCTGGCAAGCTCATGATGCAGTTGCTGCATTCCTGGTTTCTGTGTAGGTCTGACCATGCCAGTGGTGATTTATAGGCACTAGTCCCGTGGCCTGTTTTGCCAAGTTTGGTGTGTAGGATTTCATTTACTCTTAAAGAAGCAAAAGACAATGTGTAGACTCGGAGAAGTATTGAGGCTGCAAGAACATCTGAAGGTATGGACACCTCATCCAGTCTCCCACACAAAGCAGAGCAAACCTCAAACCCAGCTGCTCAAGTAGATGGAATTTGTGCTGGCACCACCTGAGCTATCCTTAAGATATCTTTACAAAAAGAGTGATTCTTCAGAAGCATGAGAAAAAGAATAAGGAGAGACATGGCATACAGTTCATTGATGCATCATTTTTAGCACGTTTCCTCTGTTTTTCACTACTTTTCTGCAACAATGCACTGAAATCCGTATTTTTGTATACTTATACTGTAAATACGCTCAACCCAGAAAACTGAAGATCCCAATTGTCTTCAGCCCAGAAATATATGATGAGGGCTTGGGGTTTTGTTTGTTTGTTTGTTTGTTTGAGTTTTTTTAGTTTTGTTTGTTTTCAAAGTTGAAGTTGTTTTTAGGCTTGCCCAAAAAGTAGTAAAAGCACTATCCTAACCCAGGCAAGTATCATTGCAATGATACATACTGCTTGCTGAGGTCCACATGGGGAAGCAGTTTTGATTTTGTATTGAAGTGCAGTGGAAGGTGGATGTTAGGAAGATATCAGTGCCATTAGGACTGTAATGGGCACTGACACATCCTGTTGGGATGCATGATTAGTCCATCCTGGCTGTTGCCTTGCTAGCCAGAGAAAGGCCTCCTTACCCCAGTCTTCCAGACTACAGAATCAACTCAGACATGCCTGGTGTGGGCAGAATAGCAGGTTTGATTTATTGTTCTCCGGAATGCAGTGGTCATGTGTAGGGCTGCTCAACAGGTGCCCTGAACAGCTTCGACTACATCATTTGCATGCCTTATTATCACTCTCTTTTGTCATCCTTGTTCTCCCTTTCTCTGCGCTAATCCTTTCCTGTATAAACAACCTGCTTTTAGTTATTTCTACCCCACTGGACGTAGTCTTGCTAAATCCATACCACGTCTGGTGTATCTCATGCTGTTACATACACAATCATGGCCTTATATGCCGTTACTGATACAGTTACTCAGTCTTCCTGACTTGACACCTCCCTAAAAGGTCCCTAAAACTCTGTTACCTGTTCAGTTACCTGTGAAGTTCAGCCACTTTGCTCATTTGGTGAAACACTGGAACACGTTGCCCAGAGAGGTTGTGGATGCCCCATCCCTGGAAACATTCAAGGTCAGGTTGGACAGGGCTCTGAGCAACCTGATCTAGTCGAAGATGTCTCTACTCATTACAGGGGGGTTGGACTAGGTGACCTTTAAAGGTCCCTTCCAACGCAAACTATTCTATGATTCTATGATGACTCTTAGCATCTGTGAAATCAGACCATCCCTCATGGTGCTGTTTATAACTTTTGTCATCTTCTCAAGCATTAGCAGTCTCATCAAGCAATTTTCTCAGGTTTATGTGCCATAGTTTCCCTCACCCTGCTACGTTAGCTTGACCTCAACCCAGAGCCTAGCCATCTGCCTGTGGCCTTAACATGCAGAACAAAACCAAACTTCAGATATGTGGCTTTGAAGCTGACTGAGACTGCAAAAAAAAAAAAAAGTAATGTTTGCCCATTTTTAGAATATTTATTTATTTATATATTTATCTGCCTTGCTACAAGAATATACAGGCTCTTTGGGTGGCTAAAATTGCACATTTCACCTTTTATTCTTTTTCCTAATCTCGTGTCATGGATCAATTACTCTGGGTAAACTCAGTCCCACTCCTTTTAATTGTGTGTACTGTTTATCATTGTGAGTTTCTTGCTTGTGAGAACATATGACCTGTCTAGATGGGAGAGGGGTTACTCCCACAACAATGCTGGTACTATGCAAATAATATATATGAAAATATACCAGTGGAATCGATGTTGACAAGTAGTTAGTCTGTTCCAAGCTAAACCCAAGTGCAATACAAGGATTGCAAAAGAAAAGCTCAGTTCAGTTTTTATTTTCTTACCTTAGGAAAATGGGCACTGCTGCCAACTTTTCCCATTCTTGTCCAAACCAACCAATAGTCCCCTAAATGATCAGACATAAGTGATGGTGCCAGTTCAAATGCGTTGTGACCAAGAAAGATGCATACAAACATTTATTGTTACAGAAAAGGTGGTGTTGCTGCAGTTTTTCAGAGGACTGGAAAAGAAAAAAGCCAAATGGTCAAAACCTGCAGCTCCTTAGCTGCTACAAATTTCTGACTCTGACGTCAGTAGAGTCATGCTTTCTTGTTTTTACATTCTCCCCAACTTTCTTATAGTGCGATAAGGAAATACAACTTTGAAATAATGAAGAAGCATGACCCAGGAATGTGATCAAGGACAATATTTTAAAGTATTTACACTATAACAAAGCTAAAAGCTTTTTTGGGTGCACACATTAATTGTCTCTGTTGGTCAGATGTCTGAACCTTTGTCGAAAGACCATTGGAGAAAAAGCAATGAAGTAATTTTGTTGATGATTTTATTTTATATTTTGATGGTGTTCTGGACCATCAGTCACATGCTGGACCTCCAATGTGATTGGTACTGGATAAATACTAACCAAAAAGGCAGTTTCTGATTTAAATATTGTACATTTGTCTTGTATTCAATCAATGTGGCAATAACACAATTCAGAATCACTCCACAAAAACACACGCATCTCTTAATTTTGGTTGTAGTCCAATAGACTGCATATTTTCTCCCGTTTTTTTACTTGTATGATTTTTGTTTTAAAATTACTTTCCAAAATAGCAGTTCCTCTCCTTTGAAATTCTGGTTTGAACACAATGATTTACAAATGTGCTTCTTTACTATTTTTATATTTTTGTTTTTAGTGATATGTTTTAGAAAATGTTACAGGATGAAACTGCTGATGACAACAGAGGAGAAAAATGCGCATGTGTGAAAATTGCATAGCTTTAACTTTTTCTGTTCATGACTTTCTAAATAGTTTCTTCTGTTGGCTGCTGTTTTGCTTTATACTAATGTCATCTCTGTTTCTTGGCATGGGCTTCTGCTCAAGGCTATTGTGAGTATGGCTTTCTATTTACGTAACACTACTTTCAGTTTAAATACATTTATTGCATTTATTTTTTTTAAAGATACTCACTGTGTATGAAGTGAGTTTAAAATTAAAATAAAATTTACTTAGAAGCTTTTATTCAAAGACCTTATCTAAATGTGATTTAACCAGAAAGTGGAACACTGTAAGTTGTGTGATAATTTTTATGTGTCTGTAATCAATAAAGATGAGAAACAGAAAAAGGGTAAAATTTGTTCTATACTCCAGTCAGAAACACTCTACTCCTTCTAGTTTCTATGGGGACAGGAATTTACTTCAACTAATCTGCTGCATGTCTTCATGCAAATTGCATTGCAATGTTGGTAGGACAGCTCTTCTACCAAATTTTGCTGCACTTTCCAATTTCAGGTTAATTTATTAAGTCTAATTACAAAAGTACTGAAGAAATTAAAACAACTGACATAGAATTTTGTCGTTCATGGGTCTTGCTTTTATTGATCTAGTTCCTGGGAAAATGTTTGTAAATTTACAAAGCTCTCTAATTTCGGGAAAGTCACACAGCTGTGGAGAGAAGGATTGTTACCACAGAGGATGACTTTACAGTTGTGATCTAAAACTGTGTGAAGTAAAAAGTTGGATTTTGGTTAGAATGTCAAAATTATATGTTTTTAAATAATTTTGAAATGATGTTAAATCTCCACAATATATTAAAATAAAATTTTTAACTTTCTATTTTAGTCAGTTTTTCTGAAAAAGAAACTTGAAGAACATCTGTAAGTATTTTGTTTGCCTATTTTATTTGCCATTTGAAATTATGTGTTTTCCATATGGTAAGGAAGGCAGACAGTCATTAATCATTCATCTGGAAAATACACAACTAAGAGAAATTAGATAACACAGGAATGTTTGGGAATCTGCTCTTCAGAGACTGTTTTCATTGCATAGAATACCTTTGTGAAAGCATTAACAGCGATGAAAGAACTGTCATTTTGTGGTGGTTAGAAAACTTTGCTTAACATTGTGTAAATCTTTACTCAAGAGGAGTAAGCAATTTTGTTCTGAGGAAAGCATGTTAATGTAAACAAAATTATTTTTTTTACTTTTTAGTATACATTATGGCTTAAAAGGTAACATTTTAGGAAGTGTTATAATTTTGTTCTGCTATTCGTGAACCTCTTTTACTTCCCTAACATGCAGTGAACTGTTTGCTTTTTGACTGGCTTGCAACAAAAAAAGTAGTTTCTGTTGCCTTGGGTTTAGCCATTCTTTCTCAATGTAATCTCCATTACGAGTATTCATTTTAGGCATGCATTGTACAATTAACTGTAAGTTATAAATTAAGTTTATAATTACTGAGAAAGAAGCCGTTTGTTGTTACAGTTCTCCATACACTGTAAAGTTTTTCAGCTTATTTAACAAATATGTCAAGAGCGATGTTGTCATTTGTCCTTATGCCCCACAGCAAAAATCAATCGTGGTCTCAGAAATATATCACTATCTGAGGATTTTTTGTATCACATAAAGTTCATTCAACCACAGTAATAATATTGAGAAAACAATATGTGCTTTTATGGTTTGTAACAGTGAGAAGCTCCATGAAGCTAACAATGAGCTACAGAAGAAACGAGCTATTATTGAAGATTTGGAACCAAGATGCAATAACAGTTGTGAGTTACCTGTGCAGTCCATGTCTTTTCTTTGTAAAGTATTTAATGTGCAAGGTCTTTAATTATAATATCTATAAGAGGTGCAAGATAAACAAAATGTACATTTTAAATGGCAGTGATATGTATGTTGTTAATTTTTCTGGAAGCTATGGTGACCAAAAAGATCCTTCTAACACTTGAAATGCAGGGGATCACGTTTTAGAGACCACGGTAGTAAGAAATGACAGTGGCCATAGAAATACTGAGTCAGTGTCATACCTGTCATTGGAACTTAGCTGTTGAGAAAAGTCATGTCTCCTAAGACCCTAATTTAGGAGATTCTTGCTGCCATCACCAGGTTATTTTTACTCCCAATATATATTCCTTCAGTGTGTTTTCAGAACTGTGTTATAATTTGAGAAATTTTTGGACACTGGTCAAAGAGAATGTAAGATACATGTCATATTGCTCGGATGGTATCTAGAATCCAGCATCCAGTTGCTTTTTAGCACATTAATTCTACATTTTCCTGAGAAGTATTGAAGGAGGTAGATTGGTTTTTTTCAAGCCTACTTATTACAGAACAAGGAAAAAGACTGCAACCAATGGCAGCTTTTCTGGTTTGTGCCAAAGCAATTTTATTCATAAAGAGATCGAGGAAGGTAGAAATAATCAGTTCAGTATTCATTACATACACTCTGTATCCAAAAAGAATTTTCGTTTGTGTTGAGCTAAAACTGCAGAATATGTTATAAATTCCACATCTTAGGAAATGAGGTCCAGGGACTTCATGAGTAGCTGATAAACACATAATCCTGTCGTACTTGATAAGCTTCAGTGCGAGTGTAATAGCAGTCTTCTGACTTGCTAGCTTCTAAACATAAGGGCATATTGAGTCTTCTGTAGTGAGTTTACTGAAATTACAAGTTGCTTTTTAAAAATCTAGGTCTGAACTTTTGTCTTGGTAAAATAAAAATAGTTGGACCTTCTTCCTTTTTTTCCACGCTCAGGAAAAGTGTGTGAATTATTTTCTCAGATTCTTTTAACTCTCCTGGATATGACCAAAATGCTTGGGCTTTGTACAAGAACCGTGGCACATTTTGAAAAATGGATTCTTGCAACCTTGGAGACCATCTGCTATTAGTCTTCTTACTGATCAGTGAAAATCTTACTTGGTCCTGTTACCAGCTTAGTGTTTTCTGAGTGCTTACAGAGAAAACTATAGGAAAAACATTAAAGAACATTTCAAAATGAGGCTGCAAAACAGATGGATTGAGGTTTGCCAATTATCTAATGTTGTCTGACAACCAGACATCAATGTTATATGCTATTTGATCCAGGATGATGCAACTGATTTTTTTTTTCTGCTGAGATCTGAGAAGATGTATAGAAGAAGTATAAGCAATAGTGGCTCGACATATTCTTATATCAACACAGGAAAATGCTGTGCAATGAAGTTGTCCTGCTGGTCTGCATTGCTGCTTAAGAAAATGTGGGGGAAAAATTAAATTGAGTATATTCATGTCACAAGTCTGATAAATTGTGTCCAGTGTTACAGTTTAGCAGATTTAAGCAAGAGTTGTGCCTGTTAAGAATTATTCCTCTTACATAAAACAGGAAAACTCATATTTATCTGAGTTACAATACCAAGATATTATAGAATCTGTAATTCATTAGTAAACTCATTTTCTAAGTGTGTTGAGTAATGAGATTGATTCATGATTCCATTTCTCTTTATTTTTTCATAATTTTTAAAAAAGCGAAATTTGTGTACAAAACGGCTGTCTCATGAGATGATATAGGAGTACACATTTTTAATGTGTTTCTGAGCTTTTTAGTAATTAAAACTATGGTACCTGCTACATCAGGTTCCTTATGTTAGCTTTTCTTAACTGAAATAAATTCTAACTGAGCCTTAAATGTCTGTTGAAAAACATGAAGATAAACACATTACAATTATGTTATTTTCCAATGTGTGCATCTCCTGACATAAAGCACTCAAAATTGAAGAATTACAAGAAGCTTTACGGAAAAAGGAGGAGGAAATGAAGCAAATGGAAGAGAGATACAAAAAGTATTTGGAAAAGGCCAAAAGTGTAAGTATATGTGTACCATGTTAATGATCCCTCTCTGACAGACTGCACTACATGTCCATTCTTCAGGAATAAAAATAAAGGAGGTATCTATACACGCTAGCAAGTAAAAGAGAAGGAAGGCCCAGTGAGTTCTTTGTATCTTCTTACCATTACAGTACCTACTACTGATTAATTCTGCAGAAGATTTTTACCCTGTTTTTGTGTTCATGACTGTCCCCTTTTGCTGCCTATCTGTAAGCCCTTCTGATGCCTCTGTACAAATGTATACCCACTGCTACAGATTTTTGAGAGTCACCCAGACAAACCTTGTTAAGCATGCTTTCATGTTGGCTGATGACAAGAAGAGGGTGTTAAATCCTTTCTGATGCTGTGATAACCTGTGTCTTTGCAGAAATTCTTCCAGACTTCGGTCTCTGAGTGATAAATGTATAGATCAGCTAAAGCAGTGTCCATACTAGGACTGGTGCTATAGCAATAACCAAAATAGCTGTGCTGTATTTTAGAATTAGAGAACCACCCATCTCAACCAGCTGAAGGGAAGGAAGCTCTGTGAGCTGTACTCTTTAACTGGCATTTGTGCAGGGACTTTTGGGGACTTCTGGCACAGCTGTCACGAAGAGTTCTACCTCTTTGTACACACAAATATGGCTTAATAGCACCAAGTACAAGCACAGTTGGACCAACAAACTGGGTTTGTCCGTTTGGCAGAGAGGGAAAAGGAAGTTTGTGGTTCTTTCCTTCACAGCTGTTTATGTGTGTTTCTAGATGGTGTAGGCTTCTTCTGATGCTCAATCAGTAATGTCTGTCTTACCTGGAGCAGATAATTTGATACAGTTTTTTACAAATATAGCTTTTAGCTACATCAGATTTCATCAGGTCCTAACTGCTCAGATAAATTGCTTATTCTTTCTGAGGGGCTCAGAATTTACAGGCAGAGGTAATTACACGTGTGCCAGAGCCATCTTTACCAATTTAAATTTGATTTTGCTTTCTTTGTTCATCTTTTGCCCCTGATTTCTATTCATGTTCTGGTTTAGCTAACTGGTTGAGAAACTGTTATAATATGGGCTCTTTTATTGATGCTTTTTGCAAGTAAAGTGATCTTTTTAACTGAACCACTTTTGGGAGCTGTTACATTTCTCTGATGACATTCAGCATTCTCTTCTTAAACCTTTACTGTGTCATATATGCTTCTGTTGAAAAGGTGGCTAATATTTAAGTACTGTATTGAGGATGTGGGTGTACTACCAGCTCTGAAATGGTAGTATTGTGGTCTCAATCATAGTCCCATTTCTTCTCTTACTACACCTTGATATTTTGTTTGAGTTTCTCAAAAGCATACCAGTGTCTTTGTTCATCTGATCATGGTAATATCATGATCTTTGCTATGGCTGTGTATCACTACATTTGAATCTGTAAGTAGGTTCCTAATTTGGCAAAACCTTGTGCTTCTTTCCTTTACTTCTGTGTAGTTTCATCAATGACTTCTTGTGAGATGTTTCAAAAGTCTTCAGGAAATTTAAACAAATAATTTTTAATTTTCCTTTTTTTTTTTTACATCTTATGTTGCTGCCTGTGTCTCAAAGTATTCCCAGTGAAAGACAAGAGTCACAATTTCCCTTTTCAATAAGATTTGTTTACTTGTATATACTGTATTACTATAGGGTGTTTTATACAATGGTAGCATTAATTATTTTAGTTAGGTTAGCTTTTTGTGATCTTATCAACTTTCAGTTTGTTTGTGTGTTGTTTTTTTTTTTGTGAAGACGAGTACAATCATTATAGCCTTCCACCCTAGAGACTGTATCCAGGTCTACTGTGTATTTTCTTAGAAACATAGTACACTTTTATGAATCTTCCTTCATGAGTATCATTCAGTAAAAATTACTTACTAAAATTTAAAGCATTGTTTTATTTCATTTTCTGGATTTGACCCTGAAATGGGTAGAAAGACAAAAGATGTGAAGTCTCTCTCTATATAGCCAGACGTTGTTAAAAAGTTTTAAGCTATTTTCTGTTAAAGGCTTAGGAATCCAGACATTTTGCTGGATTTGTTCTTGGTTTAGCTCTGTGTTTGCTAGTACTCCAGGATGGATGCGACATACAAATGTAACCTGGTGCCCCTTCATCTTATTAGTAACATAATGATCATTCATGTGCCACAGAATTCTTCTTGGCTTAACAGAGCTATCTAGAAATGACAGGTCCTAGTACCCCAGCTAGGGGAATCATGGCATCTTTAGAGGAATTGAGAGGTAGGTAAACCTTAGCTATAAAGAGAGAAACCTTTGAGAAAATATTTCTACCACTGTGGCCTCAAGGTAGGAACTGCATATGTGAGTCTGGGCTACTGAACCTCTTAAGTGTCACTTTTTCCTGTCGGTAGTTTTGTTTCACAGTCCTGTAAAAGAGAGCCCAGTTCAGACGCTGTAACGTGTCATGGCTGATGTTAAGAGGCAGAGCCTCTCTCGTGCTGGCTGTCAAGATTGTTTTACAGGAGTTGGCTTCTTAAAACTGCACATCCCCATAGTTTCACAATTTGGAGTGTTATTTCTTACCACGGACATTTTTTAAGTCACTTTTAAATTTCTTAACCTGACTTAAACCGTTGTAATTCCTTGGTGTCTTTCCCTTCAACTAGATTACTTTTGGAGGATTTAATTAAAAACAAACTGGTTTTCTCTTACAGGTCATCCGCACCTTAGATCCTAAGCAGAACCAGGGTGCAGCTCCTGAGATTCAGGCTCTGAAAAATCAGTTGCAGGAGCGGGACAGAATGTTTCATTCATTGGAGGTAGTAATCCTCATGTTTCCTGGTAGATGCATATTTCGTCATTGTTTTTTAGGTATAGACTAATACTTTTATTATACTTTGGTTTTAAATGTATGCTTTTTTGATGTTTGTTTTATAGAAAGAATATGAAAAAACAAAAAGTCAAAGAGAAATGGAGGAGAAATTTATTGTTAGTGCCTGGTACAATATGGTAAGAGTCTCTCAATTTTTTTATTTAAAAAAAAAAGGAAAGAAACGTAATATTCATTGTTTCTGGGTTGTTTATAACAGTATTCATTCATTTACAGGGTTTTTTGTTTGTTTGTTTGAAAAGCATTTTCCAACACACAGACACAGAAATAAATGCTTTTTAATAATTTTAAGCTATCACTATATAAAAGTATGTTCCTATGATAGCCTTGGCGTAATTGAAAAAGAACATGTTTGTTATTTTCAAGTTTTAAAACCAGAAATGGCACTTTCTAGAGGGAAGGATACCTCAGATTACTGTTTTGTAATTGCAGCCCTTCAGTTAGTAATACTGACTTGCAGTGCTCAAAATAACAACTTCTTTGATTCTCCACTCTCCAGTCTTCCAGTTGTTTCTAATGAAGGGGCACAAGAAAAGCAATACAGCTTACTTGCTGCAGTAAGTGCTCTGAGAAATGACCCCTTTAACTTGAGTGCAAGTTTAGCCCCATGCAAAGGGTGAGCACAGGGGCAAGACCCTCACTTAAATTATTCGAACCGTAAGGAAGTGATCTGTGCAGCCATACAGCTTTTGCTGGGCCTGTATGCTGGGAGATTTTTCACCTTTGTCAGATGTGTTCAAGACTTCTCTTTAACAGAGTGTGGCTGCATTGAAACTGCTCTTCAGATAGAAAGAATCCCTGGCCTGTGTAACATGGATGTTTCATTGTGCTTCATCATAGAGTTCAAATTCCTCCTCTCTGTTTTCCCTTGGAGGAGTTTCCTTCTTGCTCTTCTATATTCTTGTTATGTCCATGAATAGTAAGCCAAAAATGGTACTTAAGCAGAGTGTTTGAATCCTTTAAATATTGAAGGCATTTTAAAGTGACTAGTGTCCTTGACCAATTTTGTAACATTAGTCCCACTGACAAGCAGAAAACAAGCCTGAGCTAAGAGCTGTGGTTCAATAGCCTGTCATGAACACTAAGATGAGCATTGATACCTTTGTCTATGTCTTTCTCTAATTAGCCTCTGCTTTTATACACAAACACACAACCCATTACAGCTTTTCCCTCATTTCCTCCTTGCGTTTACTCCTGGCTGAAAACATACTTTTTCTCAAGATGCGCTCCTGCCATGTGAGCTGGTATTTTCACAGAGGATGACAATACGTTAATTATTTTCAGAAGAAAAATGCACTTCTAGCTCAACATGCTGAAGGGGGCCAGGGTGGGGAAGGAGGAAAACACTTTTGAAAAGACTCGTCCAGTTACCACTTGTTTCTGTGGAGAAGCAGATGTTCAAATCTGGGACACTCGGGAACAAGCTTCTCAACAGTTAGTGCAAACCGGGACAATGATTGCTCAGGGTGAGGGCAGGGGAGAGAGAAGGGAGAAAAAAAAAAAAAGAAAAACACACAAAGAACTAGGAAGAATATCTAGAATATCTTAGCTTTATCCTTGAAAATATGATGCTTCATGTTTGAAATTCAAAACAGCTTAGTCAGTGTTGGTGAAGAAGGGGATAATAAACAAAATGTAAATGAGTAAAGTTGTTCAGTGTTATGTGTTGGTATTCACTGAAAAGTTTCTCTTTGTCCATAGGGAATGACTCTACACAAAGAACTAGGAAGAATATCTAGAATATCTTAGCTTTATCCTTGAAAATATGATGCTTCATGTTTGAAATTCAAAACAGCTTAGTCAGTGTTGGTGAAGAAGGGGATAATAAACAAAATGTAAATGAGTAAAGTTGTTCAGTGTTATGTGTTGGTATTCACTGAAAAGTTTCTCTTTGTCCATAGGGAATGACTCTGCATAAAAAAGCAGCAGAAGATAGACTGGCTAGTACAGGCTCAGGACTACAGGCTCAGGACAGTCCTTCCTGGCTAGACAAAGGCAAGCCACAAGCACAAGGAGATCTTACCCTGGTCATGTCCAGCCGGCAACAGCAAGGTAGAGAAGCCTTGCCCTTAGAAAGAAAACTGCCCTGTGATCCAGGCCACTTCTGTTGCAAGTGACAACATTCAAGGAAAATCAACCAGCATCTTTTCTCTTTCTCCCTTGTTACTGATATTATTTTACAGTTCAGGAAAGGGTTTTATCATGGTTTCTCACTGTTCTGTAATGCCCTTTGCTTATATTTTTTGGAGTCCATCTCTCTCTCTGCATTTTTTGAATGTGCCAAAGTTTTGAAAACATCTAGAGGAGTGCTGTATAATAACAGTCTTATTTGTATGAAGCCTGGTCTCTTATGAAAAGCCTCATATGGGCTGTGTCACAAAGTAAATTTCCTGTCACAGTTGATAAATTTGTGCCTATAAGGGTTGTTACGCTTTATAAGACTGTCTTTGTTCAAAGGGAATTAGGCTTTTTATTTCATGTGCTAACCTGTTGCTTCCTAAAAAATGCTGAAAACTCATTACAGAAATGCAAAATTAATATATAATATTGTTGTGAAATATATTTGCTACTAAAAAGATTACCAATGGCAAAAATGATTTTTTTTTTTTTTTTTAAATCTCCTACATGCAAAGTTTGCTCTTGTTCTTGGCATTTAATAGGGAAGGAGGATGATTTTTTCAGGTTTTTCTTTATCTATTGGTGTAGATAAGAAAGTTTTGCTGGCAGACCTAAATATTTTCAAGTGGTTTGTTCCACTCTTCTTGGTCAAGTGTATGCTTAATATATATTATAAAAAGATTGAGAAATATTTAGAATGGTCTAATATGCTACTGCATCATCCATTTAAGAAGGACGTTTGTTTTAAAATTTTATGTTATGGATGAACAGTACATAATGGATCAAAGCCCCGATTAATATTGTTGATGTTAATGTATTCCAGTTGTTATCCCCTACTAAAAGACTTGCTTTTAATATATTCATTCAGGGTATAATTGTATCAGTTGCCTTACTAATGGTACCAGTGCCTTCAGGTGAGTTTGTTGCTGACTTTGTTGGAAACTGGCTGTGATTTGTTGTACTGCCTTTTTAGTGTGTAGCTGGTTAATTGTACGTCACTCATTGTATCACCTTCATGTTGATCAGTGGGCTGGATGGTGGCCCGTACTAGTAATTTAGGTTCTGTTCCTACAAAGTTCTGCTTTTGCCTGACGAATTCTATGCTTTCCCTATCATTTTTGTCAAAGAATTGACAGACACAGGGGACCTGAGTATTGGTTGAAAGTTTCGTATGCATACATCTTGTGGTGATTCAGTTTTAAGCAGTTTTCATTTAGAGAATGTTTGGACCCTAATGCACATGCAGTCTGGTTTATAAATTTATTCTTTCACCTTATTTTAATGCCCTCTCAAGTGATGACATTTTTTCATAAATCCCTTTAGAGAAAAGACATACTAGCATTTGTTAATGATCTGAAGGTCTATGTTAATTCACAACTTGGGTGGAATGAGCAAAGGATAATTAAAACAAGCACACCTAGATTAAAGGGTAAGGAACAGGTGAATGACGCTTTTGGGTACTGTTTTAACGTCAAGTACATCATCTGTTTTAATCTACGCTAAGAAATGCATTCAACATGTGTCTGAAAAAATTTACCTGTTCTGATTTTTCCCCCCAATAATATGAAAACAAATGCTGAAGTCTATTAACTACATATAGGTTTGTCTTCTATTCCAAACGTGGAAAAAATTGATTTTCTAAAAATTCTCTTTACTTATTCAACGTATGACGCATCTGGGCTGTGCTTGCAAGATTAGATAAGACAGTGAAATTATCTTCTTGTGTGCAGAAAGGTAACAACGTAAAGGAAGTTTAGGACAATTTCTGTGCCTCAATGAGGTGATACTCATTTTGCTTTCTCTGAGTGAGATACAGAATGCTAAAGGGACAAGAAGTCCTATGTGTTATCTAGCAAGATGACCACAGTTTGTGTGGGATGTCTTTTACTGATCTTATTGAGCAATCCATTCTAGTCATTTGAAGAACTCTTTACCGCATGCCATATGTGAACAGGAGCAAATAAGATCACTTCTCTGAGGGAATTTGATGTTCTTGTTTGAGATTACAGCATTTTCTGTCACACAGAGAAAGAGCCTAAAAATACCTAAAGCTCCATTTGTATTTTAATCTGGCTGGTTCTGTGTTACCAAACTGCCAAAGCCTATTTGTGAAAGCAAGGAATACCAGGACCTTAATGAGAAGTACTATATCTTAATTTTGTCTAATAATTTAATTTCCCATTGCTATTAATTAGGTGCAGGTCTAAAATAACTTGAACGCAATCTGCACACTAGAATAAAACAACTTGCTTTTATTATTTTAACATTTGTTTTACCATTTTGCCTCCAAAGTTTTGGTGACAGGCAAACGCCCCAGACTGTTAGGAGATGAACAAATGCTAATTAGAAGCCTTGTTTTTAGCTTTTACTTTCCTATCTCTCATGGCTTCTTTCATTTCTTGATGTTAGTTGGCTTTTATCTTCTGCTTTGTGGTTCTGGTCAGTCTTCCCTTTTCCTTTAAGATAAGACAGCAAAGTGTTTTCTATACTTCTCTTCAAGAATATATAGCATCAAAGAGCAAAACAAGACTAATATTGAATCTGTGCTTTACTGTTGCTCATAGTAATTGTTAGGCAAGATTGACAAGCATTTTTGTCTTTCGAGAATTCACAAACTTGTAGGAATTCTGGTATTTCCCAGAATCAGTGTTGTATATAAAAGTCTAAAAATATACTGCAATCTTACAGAAATATACTCTGTTGCTAACCAGTTCCAGTAAGTCATTTGTTCTATCTTCTAATGGTAATCATCAGGAATTTAATTCCTTATTCTTCAGCATTTTGCTTCTATTATTTGCTGGATACATCAGTTCTTAATCTTTGGATGTGGATGAATGCAGGTGGTAAACATCATTAAACCTTCTCTCTCACAAGAACAGCTTCTTTATTGAAAGGGTTCAGCTTCATTGTTTTCCTTGCTTGTTATGTAGCTTTGAAAGTAGTGTGGTGTTAAGAAAAAGAAGGGGCTCAGAGGGTGACTTCAGGAAATAAGCACATGTATAGCCGAGCTACCAAGGAATGCTCTCTATTTGTCTTATCTTCAGCAACAAAAGAATATAAGCAAAAAAACCCCAGTAAAACAGAATTCTCTCAGTACATTAGATACTTCTAAGAAGCTTTTAGGAACACTGTTTCTGGGGCAATAAAGACTACTTACATCAAAATTGTACTGGTAATTATTAAACCAATGCTATATCCTGTCTTGACACACTACAAAAAAACCCCTACAAATTGAGATTAAAGAGAAAAGGTTCTCCAGGGCAGTGATAAAACAGCTGAAGAGTTCATGAGACTACATTCCTGAGCACTGTGTCGAGGATCTGCGCAGAATAATCTTTCTGAGAGATTTTAATTAATGCCAGTAAAAGATAGCAGTTAAATGGATGAATATTTTCATTGTTCCAAGCTGAAGCTTAGCTTCTGGTCTTAGAGGATGTGTGTGCAGTCCAGTTTGCATACTTCCATGGAGAGTTAAGTTGTTAGCGTATCTGATCAGCCATTACAGAAAAGAATAGTCAAGGTCCCCATTTTCTTGATAGCAACACATAACCACTTGGATCATAACATGTATTTTCCAAGTGTTGTGAAAACTGAAGTAATCTAATTTAAAGGTTGTGTGTTCCACCCACAGTGCAAAGGAAAATAAATGACTAGAGCACACAGCTTTATATATTGTAAAGTGAAGTAAATATATAATGACTACAAGATGCTTTTCATTATCTCTTTGGAAATAAGCAGATGGTAATCTTGTCCTGTTCTGATGTCACTTGAGATAGCAGTAATGCTTCTGCAAATTTTTGTGGGTTTCTATTAATGTAAGGAGCACCGGCAATTTTATATTCATTGTATATGAAAGAATTAACAATGACTATTCCTATTACCACTTTATGATGATCTTAAATAGTAAGTGGTATGTGCAAGCTGTCAAGAAAATTTAAGAGGATTTGGCAATTTTAAAGTCCTCGGTATTTTGACATGTGCAAGTACCTTTTGCTTTTCCTCAGTTCTTTAGTATATGAGACTATCCACTTAGCAGCTTCGTGGATGATTTTTAGTCCATTTAATTGTCTTGGTATGTTGACATTATCTGTAGATTTGGTAATAGGAAAATATTTTAATTTGACCACTTGATTTTCTTCTAGTTAGTGATTTGGAGGAAAACTGTCGTGAATGTGGCTAATTTTTCTTTTTCTTGTGAAGCAAAACAGTGCCTGAATTTTACTCTTCTTTATTCATGCCCGACATTTTGACTTTTTGCAAGGATTGATGAGGGAGGTATTTTTGCACTCTAAGTCAGCTGTGCAATACTGACTTCTTATGGGTTTTTGCATATGTGTTTTAGGTAGAATGTGGACTCTGTGTTTTGCAGTAATATTGTATTGATAAACTTCGGTATCTCCAAACCAAGTTTAGTGAATTTTGCAGGCATTTTCCTCACCAATATTGTGCAAACAAATAGCTAAAAGAGGTTACTCTGTTAGGAAATACTTTCAAGTGGTGTTTTTTCCTCTAAGCCAAGTAGTCATACTTCAGGGGTGTCACCTACAGAGTAGTTTGATAGCTGGATTATGACTGAAATGTGATCTCAGGAAATCAAGCACTTACAAAGAAACCTTTTCAGAAGCCCTTCCTTAGAACAACTGTGTTAGCTGACACTGGCAGTATGATACACTTAGCATTCTGTTAAAATGAAGAGGTGAATCGTTATAACAATGTAAATGTAAAGATCATGTAAGCAAGAAATTCAGTGAATGAGGTTTTGAGCCTTACAAACTGCACACAGCCCAGACACATGTGCCCTCCCAAATCTGAGCAGTCCAGCTCCCTTCTGTATTGGCAAGCACACTGCGTTTTGACTTTGTGCCTTGCATCGGGAGAAAGAAGTGAAATCTTGTGTTGTCTGATAGGTTGGTGTAGGAGCAACTCACGAATCTCACTTGTGCTCACAACATCTCCACAAGCCAAATCATATTATTGGCTTGTAGTCAAGAAATCAAGAAAATGTCCTGGCATGACTGATTGCATTGCCTTGCTCCTATGATCTTTCTTCCCTCTGGAAGTCTAGAAAAGGAGCAGAAGCTTGTCAGTGACTCTGCAGGCTATAAGTAAAAATAAGGGGT